GGTGCTGAGCCAGACCACGTCAGCAGTATACTCTATCCCTATGTTGCTAGAAAACACAATATATGAATTTTGAGTAAATCGTTTATCCTTCGAATAATAGTCATTTAAAGGAATTTGCGAAATAAATATATAAATACATGCTGTACTCTTCAAAAGCTCAGTGCTTGGCAGCGCGCACGAAAGCAGATGAGCGAGGGGGGCATGGGCAGTAGGAGGCATCATCTTCCTGGTGGTGCTGTGCCTCCTGGGTTTCCTGGACGACCATCGTTTCCTGGCTGTCCTGGTGCTCCTGGCTGTCCTGGTGGTCCAGGTGGTCCATCTTTTCCGTTATTTCCTGGCTGTCCGTTCGCTCCTGCATTTCCGGGAGCTCCTGGTGGTCCAGCTGGTCCAGGTCCACCGGGTGTATTGGTGGAAGTGGTGCCGCTTTGTCCGGGCTGTCCAGGTTGTCCACTGCTTCCAGGGTTTCCTGGTGCTCCAGCATCTCCTGGAGGTCCAGGGGGTCCTGGTTGTCCATTCTGACCAGGCTGTCCAGCTTGACCTGGGTTTCCATTGGGTCCTGGGCCTCCAGGGTTTCCATCTGGTCCGGGCGGTCCTGCCGGTCCAGGTGGGCAAGTGATGCAACCAGTGGGCGGAGCAGGGCAGTTGATGGGTGCGTATGTGGTGGTTGGGAGTCCTTACCAGCTGACAGTGATCGCAGGTGTGCCTAAAGGTATATATTTTCTGGCATAAGTGGAAAATGTAAAATTATGCAAAATCGGATGCTTATTATTTACATGAGGCTGATCACGGGTGAAGAAACAGAAAATTCACCAGGTTTGTCCAGGCTGTCCGCCAGCGAGGGTCCCGGGAAGGTCCAGGTGGGCAATTGACGGTTGGAGGCGGTGGCACATAGGCAGAATGAAGAAAGACCGGCCTGCTCTTGCTAGGGGGGGGGGGGGGGGGAGGGGGGGGGGGGGGGGGGGGGGGGCGGAAGATAGAGCCGAAGGGATTCTCACGTGGCTTGCTTGGAGGAGCAACGGTGACTTGGAAGTCCATCATCTGGCTCCAGGCGGAATCAGTCTCAACGCGGAACACGGACACGCCCTCGAGGACCTCATCGTGGATCTCGTTGATGGTGTAGTAAAGCGACGGAACCACAATCAGGCAGGCCACAATGGCCAAGGTAGAGCAGCCCGAAGCCACGCCAACGATGAGCTTTTCCTCGAACATGTCGTGTTGTTCATTCGGTTGTCATGATCCCTTTTATAGTGTTTCGAAGTGTTGCGCAACTTATTGTTAGCGCGGACTGCAATTCCCTATTAACAGATGAATGCCGCGATTTTCCCGTTAATCATTTAATACCGCAGACAGGATGAACATCATGCCTACAATAGCTTCGCTGAGCCGAATGTAAACATGATTAATAAATAAGATCCTATCATATGTTCGACCCAGGCGTTTCGGGTACTGCCGACAGACTGAGGTGCCAGAATCGCTTCTGGGCGAGCTGCCAGGACCATTGGGAGGATGGCTCAACACGGCGATTATGCTTCCCATCCCTTCCTAACGTCCTGGAAGCATCTTAAGTTGCAAATCGGTGACTTTCCTAATTTAAAGAAGCAGTTAACCCGGCAGACAAGCCTGATTTTTTTTTCTCAAATTCAGTTGTTCTAGATATGGACGAAAGCTGGTCGTCTCCGGAACGCACCTTCTCGCAGCCATTTGCTTTCTCTTGCCAGCTTTTGCTCAAGGTACAGTCGCTTTTCTGACAATGAGACCACACTTGGCGTAGCTCTTCTAGTTCTGTACTTATTCACGTGTTTGTTTATATAGTACTGCAAGACTGTAGGTTGATTGAGCGGCTTGCATATTTTTCTATAAATTCTGGATTCCAAATTTCGTTTTTTTTTCCTTTTTCTCTTTGTATTTTGAACTCTTAAAGGCCCTTCGGCGCACTTCATATAATGTGAGTTTTGAGAGCTTATTTTGATCCGTTTCATTGCCCATTCCAGCGGACACATGGATATCTCTGGGATGCTGGCTGATGGGGAAATTTGCAATCAGCTGTGCTTTCATGGCTTTATTCGTGTACGCCAGTGAGGTGTTTCCGACACCCATTCGGAATGTTTCCGTTGGTTTATGCAGTGTTTTATCTCGAGGGGGAGCGATCGCTGCTCCATACATACGGATATTGGTACGTTCCAGACTACTTGATTCGTGCAGGTGAACGATTTGATTGATCGTGTTCTAGGGTTCGATCTGGCCAATGTCGCCAATGTTTCTGCTTGCATCAATGTCGTTCTTGGCTAGTGTGGTCACCTGTTTATTGCCTGAAACTCATCGAAAGCCTCTGCCGTCCAGCATACGTGAAACTACTCTCGATTCAAAAGATCTCCCTTCGTGACGACAGTCACCCGTCATTTGCCTTATCCAAAATTCCTTGGCACAAAACATCAGTTATAGCCACTGCGGGTCACTTATGCAAACGGTTCAGGGAGGGCTGAGCACATCATATTCCGGAGGGGAGGAAGGCACATCACATTTCAGGTAGGGCTAAACACATCAGAAGAGGGCTGTTATCAGAGGGCTACTGCATTGCGAAAGAAAACCTACCAACGTCGGCCTGGTCTAGCTGTTCAAAGGGCGCAGTGACCTGGTTTCCGAATGCGCTACTCATTCAACCCCCCATCTTAATCCAGGGCTTTCAGGGTTTAGAACAGCGATTTTTTTCAGGGTTAGAACAATGACCTTATATCTCTCGGTGAGGGCTAATATCTGGCCGACAAGGCTACGTTATCTTCTTAGGCGATAAAAACTACGACATTATGTCTAGGTGAGAAGGTGCAGACGATAAGACATCATTTGGCTGATAAGCACCCCCCCACCTTTCAAGTGGTTCCTCTCTCAAGGCAACTAGCGTCTATTGATCTTTTACAAGGGTATGATTTGAAAGGGTTACTGGTTTAGCGGGCCTGAGAAGGGCTCACACCCTGATCTGAGCTAAAAGCACACTTGTGGTTCCAGCAGTGCTCACCGATCTATGTTCGATACTTTCCGGGACAGACCTCTTGAAGTGAGAGTTATTGAAGGGATTAGGACATCAATAAGTGAAAGTGTAAACGCAACCATGAGCCAGTATCCAATAGTGAGACCAAAATTTGGGCCATTCCTCTTCCTTGAGGCGTCCCTCCTTCCTGTGCATAAATTCAACTACAGTTTTCATGAGAATGAATACATTTATGATTGTACAATGCTACATACAACCTTGGCAATCACTGGGATTCAGATTACACTGGAAGTGTAGGAGGGAGCGATGTTGCCATTGCACCTTCCTCACTGGCCAGCCTCTCATTGCGGTGACCAATGAGGGAGGCGCAAGAACACGCCCGGCTCCGCAAATAAAATCAGCGTCAAATCGGCTTTTAGTTAAAACATTTGGCAGCAGGACAAATGTGCAGCATGCGCATGCCTCATTGATCGTTTCATTGAAGGACCTTATTGTTCACTTATTTGTACGTTCTATAAAGCTCGTGACATATGATTATTGTACCAGACATCAATTTCTGTTTTGGTGTGTGTATACTACAATTACTTCATTATTTATTTGTTACAGCAACCAGTAACGGTTTCTTATGCTTTTCTACTTTGTAAAGATATTGATTAAAACATGTAACAAGATGTAATGCGAAGAACAATCGATATTCGTGCAATAGTGTAAGAGTTATATTAAGTATAATAAGGTACGACGGTTAGTGATCACTCGTAAGATGTACTCAAATACGAAAAGGTAACACTTTATTATTACAGCAACACGAAATTAAAACAAAAAAAACGCAATCCCTAGAAGCCTATGAAAGTATACACACAAAAAAAGGGGAAAGGCAGGAGTGCTTGAATCGCACGCTGGGTGCGGTTGAGGCGATCATCACTAGCAGCTAGGAAAGGTCCTACGGACGCCCCAGGCCAACACAATGGACACACGTAATTTCGCGCTTGTAAGCCGCGGTCTCGCAGAGTGAAAACAATATAGAATGCAACAGGTACGAGTCTGTAGCCTCTTTATCTCGCCACTTTGAGTGACGAAAGTAGTAAATATTCTGCCAGTGCGGATCCGAATGCCAAACGTACGGTAGCATTTCACGGGTCACTCGATCGCGGGAGCTTCCTTTGAGGCAGCGTTCATACTTTGAGGCAGCGTCCAGCAGCGTCTCGAAGGCTAAGGAAATATAGGTATCGATATAGCGACAGCAGCGTCTACCACCGTCCACGCGATAGGAGGATACCGGCTGTCTGTTATCCCCTACTGCCCTCTACTCCCTACCAGCACTCTGCTACCCCCACCCCTATCTCCCCGCACTCTACCAGCTGTCTGCTACCCTCCTATCCCCCATATTCTCCACAAATGGGCGCTGCTGGTGCATGTTGCTGGTCGCTGGAGACGCTGCCGCAGGTATGAACGCAGCCTAAAGGTAGTGTTCAGACTTCGCAACGGTGGAGCTACGGAGCGATTGATCGCGCTAGCGTACGACTGTGTAGCGCGACTGATTAAATCGCTGATTATACCTGATGTTTGTCGGTTATTATGCTTTTTTACCTCGAACATTAAAATTTTTCAGATACATTAAAATTTTCTGATGGACGGCTGTGTTGAGTGCGCGCACTTTCAATATTTCTGATGCGGGTTTTCCAGGTTTCTTGCAATTCTGGTTATTCTTTTTCATTCTTATCAATCATATTGCTTAGCTTTGGTCGGCATCCCATCAATTTCAGGAAGGCGGTATCCGCCCGATGGCGGGGTGGGCGATTATCGCTAACTTTATTGGTGAAAGTAGCTTATGGGATGTGGCTAAACGCCTTCTCGCAGCTCTTCCAGCAGTGACGCTGACACGCCCGCCTCCAGCAATCGTGTCCAATGCCTTCAACCCCCCCCCCCCCCCCACCCATCGCTACGATAAACTTTGATCGCTGCAGCTCTACTGCCATAAGCCGCTTTGCGCGACACCACTTTTCCAACGTTCAACTTAGCTATTACGCCACATTTCGGATCTCCTGATCCATATCTTGCTTTGGTGGATAGAGCGATATCACACAGAACAAACCACACAGCATTTCCAGAGCCTCGTTTTGACTTGTAGAATTACCATCACGCAATCCGCCCCCCCCCCCCCCCCCCCCCCCCCCCCCCCCCCCCCCCCCGCCCCTCCCCCCCCCCCCGGCCGATTTTCGCTGGAGGAGTATGTTCGTGTTGTCTCTCTTTGCTTTCACTGACGAAGTTCGCGATAAAGATAAGGGTATAGCGTTGACAATGCACAGTGGCTGGTTTTTACTACTGAAATTGCCTATACTATTGCACGCGCATACTGACTTTTTGACCGACTGGACAACATTCCTGTAGGGATTCGCCGTGCATTTTCAACTTCAAGCAGAAATTGTAATGGTGCTTAGCCTTTACTTGTCCTTTCACAATAAGGAGGGTGGAAACGTTGCTTTGAAAAATTCCCCCGGTGCTTTCTTTTAAGGAGTTTTTAGGGTTTAGATTTCCTTCGTTTCAGAAATGATCCGTTTTAGAGATTACACGTATAGGTAGAGGCCGTCTGTCATCAGGACATGTCAGCGGGGCTTGGCTTTGGGGGCGGCCCCAGCCCGTTTTCCATTGATCGTTGCAGCTTCGACCGTTCAGAGAATGGTGGGAACTGGCGCTGGCGACTCCGCCATGCATACGGCTTAATATTCAAGCGTTGACGAAAGTTTTTATTACCCTCTGACAATGAAAACGATCGAAGTAATAATCCGTCTCGTGTCACCGCTGATAGAGTTGGAAACCATTTACTAGAGTGTAGCTGCCATGCAGGAAAGTTATAGTTCTTGCGCCTGCTAAGGCAAGAAGTAAACGAATACAGGATTAGGTGGTGGATCACATCATTCACAGCGGTGTGCCTGTGCTCTATTTCTGCTAAAACAATGGATCAGTCTTGATATGACGTTTATCCTTCGAATAATAGTCATTCAAAGGAATTTGCGAAATAAATATATAAATACATGCTGTACTCTTCAAAAGCTCAGTGCTTGGCAGCGCGCACGAAAGCAGATGAGCGAGGGGGGCATGGGCAGTAGGAGGCATCATTTCCTGGTGGTGCTGTGCCTCCTGGGTTTCCTGGACGACCATCGTTTCCTGGCTGTCCTGGTGCTCCTGGCTGTCCTGGTGGTCCGGGTGGTCCATCGTTTCCGTTACCTCCTGGCTGTCCGGGTCCTCCTGCATTTCCGGGAGCTCCAGGTGGTCCAGCTGGTCCAGGTCCTCCGGGAGTGTTGGTGGAAGTGGTGCCGCTTTGTCCGGGCTGTCCAGGTTGTCCATCGCCTCCTGGGTTTCCTGGTGCTCCAGCATCTCCTGGAGGTCCAGGGGGGGTCCTGGTTGTCCATTCTGACCAGGCTGTCCAGCTTGACCTGGGTTTCCATTGGGTCCTGGGCCTCCAGGGTTTCCATCTGGTCCGGGCGGTCCTGCCGGTCCAGGTGGGCAAGTGATGCAACCAGTGGGTGGAGCAGGGCAGTTGATGGGAGCGTATGTGGTAGTGGAGTCCTGTCCAGGCTGACCAGGTAATCCAGGTTGTCCTAAAAAGTATATAATTGTCTGCATAAGTGAAAAATGTAAATTATGTAAATCATCCTATTATTTACATGAGTGATATGAAGAAACAGAAACTCACCAGGTTGTCCAGGCTGTCCAGGAGGTCCGGGAGGTCCAGGTGGGCAGTTGACGGTTGGAGGCGTGCACTGGCAGAATGAGGGAAGACCGGCTTGCCTCTTGCTACGGAAGATAGAGCCGAAGGGATTCTCACGTGGCTTGGTTGGAGGGAGCAACGGTGACTTGGAAGTCCATCATCTGGCTCCAGGCGGAATCAGTCTCAACGCGGAACACGGACACGCCCTCGAGGACCTCATCGTGGATCTCGTTGATGGTGTAGTATAGCGACGGAACCACAATCAGGCAGGCCACAATGGCCAAGGTAGAGCAGCCCGAAGCCACGCCAACGATGAGCTTTTCCTCGAACATGTCGTGTTGTTCATTCGGTTGTCATGATCCCTTTTATAGTGTTTCGAAGTGTTGCGCAACTTATTGTTAGCGCGGACTGTAATTCCCTATTAACAGATGAATGCCGCATTGTCGCCGCTTGATCATAATTGACCCGACAGATGAACATCGCACGGGGCGTTACATAGCTTCCTAAGCCGGTGTAACGGCTTAATTAGATCCATCATATGTTCAGCACATCGTTTCGGTACTTCCAAACAGAACTGATGCCAGAACGCTCCTGAGCAGCTGCCAAGCCATTGAAGCCCTTCGACGCTGTGATTATACTTCCCACCCCTTCTTGACGTTCTGAAAGTCTGGAGCTGGGAATAGAAAAGATGTCTTTTCGCAGGAACGCACTTTGGCTCAGGAACGAGCACGTATTTCAGGTTCAATTTCAGTTTTTCAAGATAAGGACGAAGGCTGGTCGTTCTGGCAGCCATTTGCTTTCCCTTGCCGGCTTCTGCTCAAGGTGTGGTCGTTCTGGTCGTTCTTCTAAGACTAAATTTGGCTGACTCCTAGCTTAGTACTTGTTTACGTGTTTGTTTGTTATTATTGCATAACCATATTGCGTATGGTATTGCGGCCTACATATTTTTTTCTTTTAGTTTCCTTTGAATTTTGATCTTTCAAAGGCGTTAGGCGCTCTTGATATCAAGCTATTTTTGTGAACTTGTTCAGATCCCTTTCATTGCCCATTTGGTAGCTAGCTATGTCTGGACGGTTTGTAACTAGCTGTAGCATCATATCTTTATTAGTGTATGCCATTAAGGTTTTTCTCCACACTCATCCGGAATGTTTACGAGTAACATGACGGAGACGAGCAAGAGAATCGTAACTTGTCGCACCATGGGAAGCTCCGCAAACCCTGTAGAAGCCTCGCCCACTTTTGAAAAATGATGCGGACCAACAGTTTAGAGTCTGAGCTTGCATGGCTAGGTCTCGCTCGCCACTCGCAACGAAAAACTGGGCAAAGTTTGTGCCGACGTTTTTCGCGCGTGATCTGGTTGATGAATTGCCCGGTTTAAAAAGTGTGGTGAATTCGATTTTGAAAAGTGGTGAATTGGTTTGGAAAGTGGTGAGTTGAGTTCGAAAAAAAAACTGAATTCGGTGTGAAAAAGGCATTTAAATGGAAATGCCGTATATGATGATTTGGGAGTTTGTGGCTGGTGCATCTTGCCAAATAAGTGACCAAACGAGCGAGCAATTGACGATCAAAGTTTGCAAGCTCGCCTGAGACTGCGACGTAGGTGTTAGTGTGGTCGCCGCAAAACATAATATCGGCGGACGAAATTTTACGTCAAATTGACTGCTTGGATTGACTTAGCACGTGCCACCAGAGCGCATCACTGCAAACTTTGGCGCCAATGCGGCAGCGGAAAAAACTTGGAATAAGCCGAAGTCACGCTCTTTCAACAGTTTTGCCAAGCTTGCCCAAATGAACATGAAACTTTGTTTGCTCAAATTAAGTACACCTTGAAAAGTCGCTTCAAAAATAGAGTTGGAAAATTGAATATCAAATTGAAGCGGCTCACAACTGGATGCGTGGACATGCCTGTTCCAACTTTGGGAAATGGCATGTATAATCTGATTGTGGGTAATTATATTGCAGGTCAAATCCCTGCAAAATTATTTCCAATTGTATGCATTATGTTAGGAAGGAGCGCGCCATTGATTAGGGTAGCGTGCCTTGTTTTTGATCGCCGTGACGGCCAGCGCTCAATAGTCGGCGCCAGGAAACAGCGCGAAAAAAGACATTTTCGGCGGGTTCTCAGTTCATAAAGGACTTTGTTGCTGCATGGCTCAGGTTTTGTTCTGTTCTGCCGACTCTCCCACCGAGGAGCTCACGACGTTTCCCCTGCCCATATTCTATATTACTAAGTTACATCGATTCCCCACCAGGAACATCGATACCTTCTCATTATCGTTTTACCGTAATTTACTACATCCTTATTGGTGCGCTATTATCGTAGCACCTCATTTAGCGATGACACACACACACACACACACACACACACACACACACACACACACACACACACACACACACACACACACACACACACACACACACACACACACACACACACACACACGTATAATTCGTATAATGTATGCTATAGGAATTCTCGGCTGAGTCATCACGTTTCTTTATGCCAACAGCCTTTATCTGGATTGTACATCAGAAACAGAAGCTCGGCTCCGCCCCCTCCGGCTCACTTCTGCAGACGCTGACCTCATCTGCCAGCGACCTCTTAGCCTTTCATCCATTCTTCTATCTCACTTAACCAGCAATT